CAGGGACCACTAAATTCATCATTTTAAATCCCGCGGACCACTAATAGGATCTGCTTAATGACTGGCTGGGTGGGCGTGGCAAGGGGGGGTCATGTGATTGGGTGGGTGTGGCCAACTTGGTATCACGTCGAGGGGCGCCTCGCCGGCATCTACTCGCCCCTCCCTTCCCAGCCACTCCTCACCTGCCCGTCGGGGCTCCTTAAAGCCCCAATGGGAAGCAGTTGCTGGAGCTAAGCAGCCACCAGGAGAAAGAGTTGGCAAAACAGTTCAAGTTGGACCGAGAAGGAGGCTCAGCAGAAGCACCTCACTGAGGACTAGGAGCATGGGCTTTCCAAGCAGAGGAAAGTCCTGTGGGAGTGCAAGGCCAGGTACCGGCACCTGGAGGCTCAGCAGGCTGAGATGGTCAGCCAGCTCCAGGCCCTGATGCAGCCCCACTGGAACGAGGCCCTCCGGCTCTTCGCCATCAGCGGCTCTTCCCTCCAGCCTTCGCCCAAATCCCCCCATCAGGAGGCTGAAGCAGACCCCAAGTTGGAATTTCTGCCCCCTTCCGACCAGCACAAAAAGACCCCGAAGGGGGAGACACTCTGCAGCAACACAAACGTTCATTGCACGTATCCATCCCAGGGGCCGTAGTTTGAGGATCCCGGATTTGGTGCAATATAAAAAGTGCAAATATTTTTTCTTGCAGACCACCAAAATTTTCTCAGGGACCCCCAGTCGGTGACCGCTGGTTTAGATGATTTTGCAACCCCCCCCACCTTCCTGCATCATTTAAAGATGTAAGCTTACTTCTCCTTCGCTGCACAAAACATTACACACACACACACAAACAGAGGGAATTTCCCAACCCTTAAGTAAGGAAGTGGTTAAGTTTCTCGCCCCCGCCAAGAGGGAAGTCTGCCTCACAGCCTTGCCTCTCCACTCACTTCTTTCTTCATTTCCTCCTGAGCTGGCTCTCGGCGGCGGAGGGCTGTTCATGTCGACTGTCCAGAGTCCGTGAACAAGCCGTTCTGCTTCTCCTCCACTCAACGGGAAGGTCTCGAGAGCTTCATCCTTTCCATCCCAGGTCAGTTCCCTGAGATGCTCCTTCCAAAAACAGGCAACAACCCAAAGAGATTCTCTTTCAGTTCTTCTTCTTGTCTCTTCGTTTAACTTTCTCATGAAGGAACTTATTTCCCGACAATAAGAACAACGAATCAGTGGAGCAGAAGTTGCCTTCAGAAGTTGTGAATGCTCCAACACTGGAGGTTTTTAAGAAGATCTTGGATAGCCATTTGTCTGAAGTGGTGTAGGGTTTCCTGCCTAAGCAAGGGATTGGATTGAAGACCTCCAAGGTCCCTTCCAACTCTGTTATTCTGTTATTCTTTTTTCTCCTTCCTTCCTTCCTTCCTTCCTTCCTTCCATTCCTCCCTATTACTGGAGGTTTTTAAAGAGTTTGGATAGCCATTTGTCTGAAGTGGTGTATGGTTTCCTGCCTGGGCAGGGGGTTGGACTAGAAGACCTCCAAGGTCCCTTCCAACTCTGTTATTCTGTTATTCTTTTTTCTCCTTCCTTCCTTCCTTCCTTCCTTCCATCCATCCTTCTTTCTTTCCCTTCCCTTCCTCCCTATTACTGGAGGTTTTTTAAAGAGTTTGGATAACCATTTGTCTGAAGTGGTGTAGGGTTTCCTGCCTGGGCAGGGGGTTGGACTAGAGGACCTCCGAGGTCCCTTCCAACTTTGTTATTCTGTTATTCTTTTTTTTCCTTCCTTCCCTTCCCTTCCTCCCTCTTACTGGAGGTTTTTTAAAGAGTTTGGACAACCATTTGTCTGAAGTGGTGTAGGGTTTCCTGCCTGGGCAGGGGATTGGACTAGAAGACCTCCGAGGTCCCTTCCAACTCTGTTATTCTATTCTATTCTAAGGCATTTCTCTCTCTCTCTCAAGGGATGGCAGGGGTCCAAATTTAGGAGTGAAAAACTGGTTTGACTCACCCTCCCTCCTCCCCACCACCCCCTCCTGTCCCATCCACCATCCTCCTCCTCCTCCTCCTCCTCCTCCTCCCTTTCCAGCCCTTCTGGCAGTACTTTCAGGAAGTTTTTTTTTTCTTTTTCTTTCCACCCACTAAAGTTTCTCTCCAGCTAGCGCTTGGCTTCCCTTGGTGTTTTCCATCGATACAACTCCTCAAACGTCCGTTCACACCCCCCTACCCCCAATTGTGATCCCCCCCCCCCGAACAATGACCTGCAGAGTAAGCAATATTTCTCCTCGGAAGTGTGCTTAGATCTCCAGCAAAAGAGTTTTTGGCATAGTAAGTTTTTTTGTCTGTTTTTTTTTTAAAGAAAGGAATCTGTGGGTGGGGCAAAAGTTTCTGGATCCGGAGTTGACTTGCAAGGCAAAATTATATATTTTTTTCCATCAGAGGAAGTAGACGTTATTTTTAGATTTCTCTCCCCCCCCCCTCCCTACTTGCAAGATCCTGCAGGATTATCAAATAGAACTAATTCAGCTCCAATTCAGCGCTGACCGTTGGTTAACTCGTGTATAAGAGCAACCAGGATGATGAAGGGACTGGAGGCTAAAACATACGATGGATGGTTGCAGGAACTGGGCCTGGCTAGTCTAGGGAAGAGAAAGACCAGGGGAGACAGGAGAGCAGCCTTCCAATATTTGAGGGGCTGCCCCAGAGAGGAGGGGGTCAAGCTATTTCCCAAAGCACCTGAAGGTCGAACAAGGAACAATGGATGGAAACTGAACAAGGAGAGATTCAACCTGAAAATAAGAAAGAATTTCCTGATATTGATGATAATTAACCAGTGGAACAGCTTGCCACCAGAATACTCCAGAAAGAGTGCAGAGAAGAGCAACCAGGAGGATGAGGGGACTGGAGGCTAAAACATACGATGGACGGTTGCAGGAACTGGGCATGGCTAGTCTAGGGAAGAGAAGGACCAGGGGAGACAGGAGAGCAGCCTTCCAATATTTGAGGGGCTGCAATAGAGAAGAGAGGGATCAAGCTATTTCCCAAAGTACCCGAATAGTGGATGGAAACTAATCAAGGAGAGATTCAACCTAGAAATCAGGAGAAATTTTCTGACCGTGAGAACAAGAAGTTGCCTTCAGAGGTTGTGGGAACTTCATCCCTGAAGGCTTTCAAGAAGAAATGTCAGAAATGGTGTAGGGTCTCCTGCTTGGGCAGAGTGTTGGACTAGATGACCTACAAGGTCCCTTCCAACTCTGTTAATCTGTTTTTTTATCTGATTTTAACTATTCTGAACTAATGAAAAAGAGCTGCCACATATATCCTGCGCACATGTTTATAGTTCGTATAATGGGCTGTGGCTAAGATTCAGATCAAATGACTTTCTGCATTACTGAACCTTAAATCTGAACAAATACCCCTGAGCTAATTGATAATCGGAGGCCTCCTGGGTTACCTTTCCATACAGGTAAGAAGTGTAGTCTTTTTTTCTTTAGTTTTATTTTTTCCTTTCCATTCACAAACATACCTTCTCATAGATACTGTTAACGTTTATCTGTTGACTTCTAGCATTTATCACAATCTGTTTAAAAATATATTAAAAAAAACATAATTGGGATGGCTTTCCTGCCAACCTGCATCTCCATCTTATTTTGCAACCATCCTACTCCTTCCTTCCTTCTTCCCAACCTCTCTTCTCTCCCTTCTTCTTTCTTCCTCTCCTTCCTCTTTTCTTCTTCCCCTCCCTCTCCCCCTACTCCTCCTCTCTTCTTCTTGCCCTCTCTCCTATTCTCATTTCCCTTCCCTTGTTTCCTCTCCTTTGCTCTTTCTTCTTTCCCCTCTTCTTCCCTCCTCCAGGTAAGAAGTGTAGTTAGAGGCAGTGAATAACCTCAGAGGGATGACTAATCCATCCCCCCCACCCTCCCTCTTTTACTTCCCAACCCATCCCCATGTGATCGACCCTAACTGACCTTTACATCATGTTCAGGCGTGAAAAACAGGCGAGCTTTGTCAATAGGGCTTAATGAAAACTCACAAACCAGAACGTAACAGGCAAAACCCTGTTCCATAAAATCTTTCTCCCTGTTATAAAACAAAACCCCATCACCCTGTTATCATCCTTGCTTTCCAATGTGAACTCTCAACCATCAAAAGATTTATTTGCTTTCTGGCATTTGGGATGACGTGTGGTTTGAAAGACAAGGAAGTAAATAGATTGGGGGGGGGGGAGTGCAAGACAACGGAAATATTTCTTAACCAAGAACAATTTGGTAATACCATATAAGGCCAAAAGCAGGCAGATCTCGGAGAGAGGAAGGGCAGAGAGAGGCAGATGTCAACAGCAGCTCCCCGAGGTTGACTTTCTTCCTCACGTGGCTCAGCCTGATGGTTTTTATTCTGCTTTCGAACTAAATCAGCCAAGTAGCTGGATCGAAACATTTTGCAGGACTAATCATCATAGATTACCGTAAGGTAAAGGTGAAGGTTCCCCTGGCACATACGGGCTAGTCCTTCCCGACTCTAGGGGGCGGTGCTCATCTCCGTTTCAAAGCCGAAGAG